AGAATTTATTTGTTGAATAATTTAATTTCTAGACGTACAATCTTAATGAATTTTCCAGGGCGTAATCATATGGTGAAAATGTGTGTACATTCCAAAGCACACGTCTCTAGTACTTGAAATATTTACAAAGGTGTGGGCGATGGGTTGGATATAGGGGTGTGGGGTAAATATTAACAAAAACCGAAACTGTATAAATTGCATATAAGTATACATTACAAATTTTGAGACTCTGGCAATAAAGGTGTAGAAGATATAATTGTATAACTGGTTTTCGATACGGTTTTTTTCGATAAGAAAAAGATCGGGATGAGTTATCGATATTTAATGTTAAGCTAAAAAAAAACGCTGTAAATACGGACATTTAAAAAAAAATTTGAAGTCTCTAGCTCTTGTATCTTCTGAAATCGACGCGTTCATACATACGGACAGACGGACGGGCGTATAGACGGACAGAGCCAAATAGACTCAGCTCGGCACCCTGATGAAGAATATATATACTTTGTGGGGTCTGCCACGCCTCCTGTTACATACATTTTTACAAAACCATTATGCCCTTATTTCCGATTGAAAATGGGTCAAGGGTATAACAAGTAAGAAAGCTGTAGTCGAGACAGCTCGACTACGAGATCCCATTTTGAAAATTGAGGTCTCTAGCTCTTGTATCTTCTGAAATCAACGCGTTTTTTTAAATGCTATTAGCCACAAATCTAGCAATTTAAAATATTGTTTTAGCAGTTATGTGTGGAGCAGTTTTCAGTTTGCAAAGCTGCTGCAAACATCAAATTAGGTCGAACGAAATGCACCTACATTATTAAAAATGTACTCGCAGTGCATTTCATGGACGACTTGCGAGCCGACCTCGGAAACTCAACTTTTAGTCTTCTGTTGGACGAGTCCACTGACATTCGTGTGCAAAAAAAATTGAGCTTCAATCATTTTAACAGGTATGGACTGCAAAGTCACGGAAAATGTTGCCATAATTATTCTCTGCCATATGAGTACTTGACCCAAATTAGTGGCAATGAGAAGTACACCGATTTATGTGAAGAAGCTGACGAACTAGATAGTATTTTAAGTATTTTGTAGTTAAATGTAAATATAATATTATATAATTTAAGACCATGTTCCTTATTAATTTAAGAGCTTTGCATTTTTATTTTTATTTTTGTACTCGTATATCTAAGCTTTTTATAAATTAAAAATTTTGAGCAATTTTGAGCAATTTTTGGCAACTTTTTTCCCCAAATCTAGCAATTTTTGCTTGGCGAATTCTGGCAGCACTCCTCCACAGGCAGCAACAGTCAAGTTACGCACACAGGCATACAAATATAGCTACATACAGGTATCCATTGTATAACGCGGTCTTATACAACGCTGTTTCGATATAACGCGACTTAGAAAAATTAGGTTTCAGTACAATGCGAAATTTAGGCTTATATTACGGATAGACATAAAATTTTCATTATTCTTTAAAGAATCATAATATAAGCCTACGTACAAAATTTCAGCGCTGTAGCTTTAAAACTCTATGAGATAGAGTTTTATCCGATTTTCCACGCCCATAATAGGCATAGATATATCCGCCATAGCTTGTAATCTTAAGTGATCGATGCGGACCTACATTCCAAATTTTAGCTTTCTAGCTCTTCATCTAATATGATTTCTGGTATGTCGCAAAATGCATTTTTTTTTTTGCCACGCCCCTAGTGGGACATTTTTTTACATTTTATAAATCGGAGATATACACGAGTATGCGTTCCAAATTTAAAGTCTCTAGCTTCAATAGCGTCGAAATAAACTGCGTTCATACGAACAGTCGGACAGACGAACAGTCGAACAGACGGACAGACAGCAAGACGGACATTGCACAAAACCAATATACTCATTTCACTTTCGTGAATGAATATAAAAAGAGTTTTCCCCGGGATTTGAACTCGCACCCAAAAAAAACAGCATGTTTGTCAAAATAGCTAAAATAAGGATCGCCGACGCTTCTGTTGATAAAATAGAAT